CGCATAAAAACATTCCTGAGGTAATCCATAATTGCAAAAGTGACTTTTTTACGTTATTCGACGTACTCAAAATGCGTTAGCAAAAATACTTTTTGGTGCTGCATCTATTGGGCGCTCATGCTCACTACTATTTAACAACCCAAATAATAATGAGGAAAAATTCATGACACATTTTTTGAAACTTTACTAATAAATATTGTCCTATGAAAGTACAAAAAAACCGATTGAACTGTGCAAAATCATTGCAAGAAAAAATCCTGCCGGCTTTGAAGCACGCAATCAAAACAAAACTTTCTAGCAATGAATATGTAAAGGCCCGACCTAATACGATTAACCAACATAATTAGTAGAGCTTTGAAAACGTTGCTAATTTGAAATGGTTCTGTTTGTTTCAGTTGAAGCCAACCACGTGGAAATCCGAATCGCAACTGAACAAGAAGGAAAACATCAGGTAAATAAGTATATTATGAGTTAATAAACACGCTTCAAACGATTTTTCTGCTGTTCTCAGGGCGAAAAGCGAAGAAACCCGGCATGGTGAGAGCATTTTCTACACCAAACCCCTATCAAAGAGCTCGGACTGGACCGAGGTTGATCTGGAGGTTCCCTCAAAAGACGACGAACAAATTCATCTGCGAAACCCCAAGTTGAGCCTGATTTTCGACAATGAAAATGGTACACCGACGCCTCCTCCTAGGAAGCAGCCGAAACGATCAAACTTCAGAGAGAAAATCGAACGAATTGCGAATAAAAGTCTTCAGGCGTTCCAGGGAGACAAAAACAAAGACACCAACAAAGTGCCAGTTGAGGAACCTTTGATGGTGAAAAGGGAAATCAACTACAAGTGTCCTGTTTGTGATAGCGACGAAAAGACGCACAACAGAGATCATCATCACCACAATAATGTGGCCAAGAAATCCTCAGAAACACCTGTAAAGTCTGACAGTACAAAAAAGAGCAAAAGCAGCAAAAGGCAGAAGAATCTCTCAGTGATCTCTTTGCCGAACTACAACGATTTGAAGCTATCAGTGGCGCATCCTGATGGGGGCGATCAGCCAATTTCTTCTAAAAATGAACTCACTTCATCGCGATTGAGCCTGCAACATCCAGGGGCCAAAAAACTCACCAACAGCCAATCAACTGGAAAGTTGGACAGTTACATCACTCGATGCAGGTCGTTTGGTTCAATATTTCCTCAGCAGCTGAAGAAGCTGAAAATGCAAAAGACCAAACCTGAGGACATCACTTCAGACGACTCGTTTGGACCTTTGGAGGACTGGGATGTTGGATTAATTGAACACTACGATCCCAAAGACACCAGTTTGCCTCGGCCACGAAAAGCTGCCATCGCAGATAAGAAATCAGACAAAGAAGTGCTGGACGGAATCGCTGGACTTATAGTCAATCCCGAAGACATTCCAAAACCTGAACGTCCTGTAAGGAGGGCTGAGTCTCTAGTGAAAAAAATCAACAAAGAAGCTTCGGTGGAAGCTGCGAAGCTTTACAGCTCAGACCCCAAAGCTCCGGAAGAAATCTGCTTGACACCGCCTCCCAGTCCTATTCACGATGGGAAAAGCACTGGGAAAAAAGTGGCGCAGCTAAGCAGAAACTTCGAGGATCCAGCAACTGCAACCAAGCTTCGGATGGATGCCAAACCGCTAGTTGTTAAACGAAACAAACCAGAAAAATCCGCGGTAGTTGAAAAACGCGAATCCGTCTGCGAGCATTCGAGCCTAATGAAAATCCTGCAGGAATTCAGTATAAAGGACAAGCAGGAGAAGGCCAATGTGGTGGAGAACGAGAGCACTTTGTCCTCATTGACTCCATCGCTGGTCGAGTTTGAAAAGACACTAAACAACAATGTCTTGGAGGATTTTATAAATGCGGAGAAAAACCATTCTCGCGTGGGATCTAGTTGAAGTCGGTGTTAAGGATATTGAAGTTGGAATTTTTGTTTTTAACTGTTGATGGTTGTATGTAATAATTAGCTTTTAAGGTTCTTCAATATTTAACTTATTTGTAAAGACATGTATTTAATATAGCAATAATGAGTTGCGATTGTTGATGCTGATTTTTCCTCCCCTGGTCAAAATTTGCAACATTTTTAACTAGTTTGACTGCCAGTATTTGAGGACATTGAGGACAAACGCAGATAAACCGACCTTAAGGCGGACGTTCACCTGACGACAATTAGAGGCCTATTAGAATTAAAGTACGCACTTTCGATCAAAGTTCATCTGTTCGTAATTGATTTTTTCGTGCGTCTTATATAATGATTAAATGATTATCACTTCAGGCACTAATTGACTAAGTTGATTAGAAATAGGTTGGAAGCGGCGTGTTGTATAATTTTTCTCAACCTAACAATCGGTGTTAATATTTACATATGATTGTAAACTGGCCGTAATTTCTTAAAAGCGTGGCTGTTCGCTTGGGGCAACAAGAAATCCAAGTCCTGTTTGGCTAAGCTGTTAATTTTGCTTTGAATCGCCTCTGCAATTTTTATTCTAGTTTATTCTTATTTGCGATTTTAACGTAGAGCGTTTCTGAACTTTTGCAAACCGTAAAATTTATTACAATTTATTTTTTTTAGCCATTTCTTGCATGTTTTGTCTGAACATATTTACGTAAAATTGGACCTGATTTAATTTGGATGTTTAAACTGAATTTGTTTATTCCTGTCAAAGACAATCTCCACGCATTAACAAAGCTGGGTAATTACCCATTAAACGCTCAGAGGCTAAAACAATATAAATTTGTTTACTACAGGTAATGCACTACCTACTCAATGGCAAATTAACTACTTTATTTAAAGCATTCTTCCATTGATTTAGGTCAGTATGAGTCATGTTGCAACTACGTATATCAGTGAATTATAAAGCAACTCTAAGCAATGTATTAGGAAATTATCTACCGTGGTTGCTCATATACAGAGTGCTTCAAAATCTTGGGTTTATTTGGCTTACAAATGGCTAGTGGAATTTACGTGCAGAAAACTCAGGGTTTTTATATCCTATATGTTCATAGTTCAAATCCTTCCTTCAGAATTATTTGGCCTGTAATGAACATTCGTTCACTTTAATACATTAAAACGTTGCAAATATAGGCATTTAGAATGGGAATTTAGATTTCCTCAGCATAATATGAATGCTTTAGAAAATATCCGCAGTCTGTTACCATTAATTTGTAAAAGAAAGAACTTTTACACGTATTTCTTCCTGCATATATTGGGCGCTCCAAATAGCCGAGATTTCCAATCACACGACTAGAAACGAAAAAACGAAGATAATAAAAATAAGGCTGATTGGTGGAAAATATATGTTATTTCATTCAATTTTAGGGGAACTGTCGAAGTATCAAGCTGTTAACGCTTCATGCATAGGAAAGGCAGTAAAACACGATCTTTAAGGAAGCAGTTAAACGTATGAGTTCACTTTATTTAGAGAAACTTACCAATGAACGCTTTCCGAATGTTAACTTTGTTTGTGCAGATAAATTACACATTTATCATAACGAAGTGTTAATGGTAAAACTGATACCAGAAATTATAAAACATCGGAAAATATTGTAAATATTTTAAAAAATTTTCACAGACTTACAAACAAACTAAAATATGAGAAATAAAAGAAATTCATCAAAGTTCAGATTTATGGTAACTGTTGACTAGATGAACCGAAATGATATCTGATCTGATAATGATAATTCATTGCTAATAACGCAGGTATTGTAAAATTACACATTTAAATCATTTGTAGCTTTTATTTATTACAAAGTAATCTTATTTTTGAATACATTTTTTACGTATATTCAGAATACATTCAACAATTAAATATAATATATACAAAATAAAACACCGTTAAGGGCTGCTGTAAATACATTTAACAAAATTAAGTCTTTAATTAGGTAATTGTTTCCTGTAGTTAAGCAGCAAGGAATTAGTAGATAATTGCAAAGAATCGTAAGTGGTTAAAGGAATTTCTAATAAATCATAATATTAATGCAAAATTCGATAACATTTTGTTCAAATTAGTTGAAAATGTCTCTTAAAATTTAGTCTTAAACTGGGGTTTTACAACGATTACCTTAGAAAGCTAGTAACTAACAAAATGATTAAAACCTGAAGAAATCATTCCATATAAGTTGTTTTCCTCAATTTTACGTTCTGAATCGTACAAAATCATCCTTGGATGAAAAACATCAGAAATAGTTTGGAAATACTCAAATTATAGCGAATTTTTTAAAGGTAATATAAACACCGGAGTAAGTTTTAACAAAATTAAATACATTTACCATGAGATCAAAGGAAATTTAGAGAATTTAATAGAGCAAAGTCTAGTTTCAGTAAGAGAAATGGAAAAAAGAAAGAAAAGCAAATTGGCGAGTATTTGTTGCTTGGAAAAAATCATGAAAATACGGGGAAAGTTTTATTAAAAAAAATTGAAACCGATATGTTAGAAATGAAGGAAAATAATTTCATACTCCAGTAATTTTTCAGTTACTGCTTTGATTTAAATCACGGTTGTAGAGAATGGCTGTACATACTATTAAAACATAAAAAACAAGAAATCAATAGTAGGAAACGAAAAAAAAGCTCAAGATTTTACAAGAACTTTTAAAAAAATCTGAAAATTGTAAAGGTGAATAGCAAAACTGGCTGGGAATTGACGAAATACACACAAATTAAAAGGGACACAAAATCCTGTCAAAAAATGTTTAAAAAAAAAACGTTGATTTTGATTACGAACTATAAAGTTACTAAGAAATCGCCTTTGCAAACGCCAAGTTGGATGATGATGACAAGAAATCCACAATTTTGATATTTTTGGGACTTCTGATTCGTTAGCAATAAATTTAATATTTTCTATTCGAAGTTTTGGTGGAAATTATTAAATAATTTCACTCGAAAAGCTTAAAAATAATTGAGAAAATGAATTAGGAATTCGTGTGAAAATCTAACAGAACTTGCTAATAGTTTAGGAGTATATTTTGTATGGTCATTTCAGCTAATTTCGAAAAAATACTTCAATTTTTTTTTCAAGATTGTGACATGTGAAATTTCTTTTACTGGTTAAGTTTGTTTGGCTTAGTTTCGGTTACATTGTGTAGAACAATTAATTAATTACACAGTGGAGCTGAGTTTATTGCTGAAACTAATTACTACTTCCAAGATTATCTGTTTTATCACTATTTTGTTTTCTTCTTAGTCATTTTAATTCATTTTTCATTTATTACTGATATAATTAATGTTTCCAGTTCAAATTGATTAACAATTTTGACCAAGACGTAGAAAATTAGTCATTAAAAAAGCAAAATTGTGGATTTGTTATGATCATCCAACTTGGCGTTTGAAAAGGCGATTTCTTACTAATTTTATCGTTTATAATCAAAATCAACATTTAGGGTAATGTTTGCACATCTTTTGACAGTTTTTGTGTGCTACTTTTCATTTGTGAGTATTTCGTCAATTCCTAGTCACTTTTACTTTTGCTACTCACTTTTACTATTTTCATTAATTTTAGTTCTTTGTACCATCTAGTGCATTTTTTTCGTCTCCTATGATTTACTTCTTGTTTTTTTATGTTTGAATAAATAGGTTCAACCATTCATCTTCACAAAGATGATTTAAAAATTAATAATTGAATACTTACTAAAGTATTAAATTATTTTTCTTCAGTTTTAACATATCGATTCTACATTTCTTAATTAAAACTTTTCTCGTATTTTTTATAATTTTTTCCAAGCAACAGTTACTCGTCAATTTGCTTTTCCTTTCATTCTTATTTGCTGTGCAAAATGTCTCTAAATTTTCTTTCATTTCACGGTTAATGTATTTAATTTTGTTAAAACTTATTCAAAAAATATCTGCAGCTGTTATTCGAATCTTCATTTTTCAATTACCTTTAAAAAAATTCTATAATTTGAGTATTTTATGATCATTTCTGATGTTTTTCATTTAAACAAGCAATGATTTCTTAATGTTTCTAATTTTCGATACCATTTTCAGCTAATTTATGAAAAATGTAATCGAACTTTTCATAAATATTATGATTTATTAGAAATTCCTATATCCACTTAATTTTTTTTGTAAAATCTGCTAATTTATTACTGCTTAATTACGGGAAACAATTAACTAAAGACGAAATTTTCCTAAATTTATTTAAAGAAACTATTAACACTGGTTTATTTTTTATATTAACCGCAGTTTCTTTCATATTAACTTTTTCTCATAAGGTCCGCTCCGGAATTTGTCTTCGAAATTGTGGTACTCAATTAGGAAGCACCCTGTGTATCAGTAGATATTTTCTGTTTTTTCAACAGTTTTTTCCCAGAGATTATATTTTTATCGGTCAAATTCATCGTTCTTTGGCTGAAAATAATTGAAAATGGCTATAAAATAATCAGGATTTTTTGAAGTCAATGATACAAATTGTTTTCGTTATTTTCTCGCGGTTAATTAAGAAATCAGGCAGGCGGCTAACCGTTGCTTGTGTCAAAATAATTATAAACTTCGAGGGAAGACTTGGGAATCAAAATTATAGAAATACGATTAGTAAATAAAATTGCACGAAAATCGTTGGAAATTGTAAGATGTTTCATATAAATTCTTCGATAAAAGTCGCGTTAATCATAAAAAAGATGTACATATTAAAAAGTATATTAAATATAAAGAATTAGTAGAAATGAATGACTAGGCATTGTAAAATCGTCTAAATGGAGGAAAAAACATAAAACAATGTCATACAGTTTTTGCAAAAAATGTGCAAATGTTCTTTAAAAGTTTGAGATCGGAAATATGTAAAACACTACAAACTAAACAATTGAACTTGAAATTCCAGTAGTTTATCTTGGTATCAGTCTTTTACTTTTTAAGCTCAAAACGGGCCTTATTTCAACACAGATGACTAGACAGACAATGTTACGTACAATGTCTACAAAGCAATTTACACCTACATGAAAGCTGGTTAGCATTCAGAATTTTCGCTCAAATTTAATAATCATTTATGTCCACCAATTCCAATGTTTAAATTCCACAAATTATTAACATGTGAATTGAAAAATTAAATTGTATAATCGGAGACCATTTTTCACTTATTTAGTCTAATGGTTTTACGTCAATTTTTCGATGATTAAACTACTGTTTTTATAGCGATTTAATTGGATCTTTCAAAAATTTATCGAATTATTTCCAATTCACCCAAATTCGCAAACAAGCTGGAATACTTTTTTAGCTTCAATTCCATCATTTTCTTGCCCAGGATTTCTCATTAGCACTCTGAGTCTCACAAGGTAGAAACTCGTCTATAAAACCGATGAAATATGAGCTCTTTGAGGAATTATTCAAACTGGCCCAATCGGTGAAAATCACGCAACACTTCCCACAAAACGTTGCAGTTTTCTTTGAAAACTTTCGCTAAAACCTGCAAGTTGCGGCCAAACACCGAACGAATAAAAATCCGAAAAATAGGTGCTTATATGCGCTTAAATGATTTTAATCAGAAACAACTTTTCCTTTATTACATATTAAACGCAAGCGGAAACAAAACAATACTGTTTCACCTGCCCCCGAAAGTGGCACGAGAAAACGTACATTGGTACATAATTAAAAGGCGATTAAAAAATTAAATTTAAATAACAAACTTTTTATGGTCTTTTAATGGGTGTTAGGACACTAGTCCAAGACACTTTCATGCAAGTATGTATTTGGTATATTTTCACTAAATATGCGTGCGATTATTGAAGTGTTTGTGTGGTTGTTTGGGGTTCTTGAGTCTCGAAGGCCGTTTCCGAACCTTCGAGTTCTTTAGCCACAAAGCTTCGGCCAGTTTCGATCAACTTGCTTGCTGTTATTTGGGTTGCTACTGGTGTGGTGGCGATAATTTCTTCCACGGTGTCTTCAATGCATTTTGGCAGTTCAAACGGCAATGAATGCGGTTTGCAACCTGGAGGAAGGAGTTAATAAAATCGTTTTTTATTAGTTTTTTTTTTGAATACCTCTGATATCGTAAGTGACCATGACTCGAGTGTCTACAACGGTAGTGGGATCGATTTTAATTGAAGTTACTGTCACAGTAGGCCTGTAGAACCCGAAGTAGTCTCCCCAAGTTGGTGTTTGTTCAATTGAGTTGTTTTCCGAGTCAATTCTGTAAAAAATCTTTGAAGAGATGAACGGACAATGGGCGAATGCGCTCCTCAAACCTCTTGGTAAGTTGCGCTAGCTGCGGCGCTTTGACGGAGGAAACTGCGAAAAGCTCATTCCCGAATAGTTTGAAGCTAAAATTGCACAATTGGGTTTTTTGTCTGGTTTTTGGAAAATTCTACTTACGATGTTGGATCGAATCGAGCGTTCAAAAACCGAACATTCCGACACTCGGGCAAGTTGGGGGCAACATACACGCAACTGGCCGGCACGTATATTTTCTCTTCCACATTTTGATACACGGTACTGGTTACAGTACCGAAAATCCCCCGTTTCACCCTGCTGGGTTCAATCAAAGCACCCTGCACTAGCGTCACTAAAATCCCTACTAAACACCAGCAAATGCCGAGTTTTCGGCCACTTGGACTCATTTTGCTGGCTGGGAAAACACTAAGCCGCCCTAATCGCCCGACATGGGTTTTATAGATTCAGACAAACATCCCAAGAATTTCTCATAATTGTTAAAAATTATACGGTGTATCTTAATGGCCTGTCCGGAGATTTGGAAATTGGTTTGTGTCCGGCCGGTGGCAATCTTTCTAAGGAATGTGTAGTATCGAGGGATAACTGCGCTATTAATATTCAATGAGGGTGTAGATGATTTGGGGCAATAACCGGCATGAAACGGTGTCTGGTAAGGCTTTTATTTGGCACTTTCTGTTAATTTTATTAGATTTTTTATATGCAGCCCTCGATTTTTACTCTGCGAAATATTTGCTAGTATCCAATTTTTGTCGCCATACAGGAGCACCTATCTGATCGAGAAATCGCCTTGTAAACACTATTTTTTGTGTTGAAGAAAATCTCTCTTCTTCCTATAATATTTCTGCCTGGAGCATGGTAAATTTTAACTACAGCGCTAATTCCAATTTATTTCTGCATTTATTTTTTCTTTGCTTTGTATCTGCTCTCCTAAATACTTGCCACGCTATAATATCCCCTGCGCCGCAAATTTAATATTGAATTAGCTAAAATAAAAAAAATAAAAAAAATTTGTTATTAAATTAGCTAAAATTAATATTTCGTTACTTTTGAGTGTATAAAATATACACTCAAAAGCTAGTCTGGATTGAAATCAATTTTTACTCGAATTATAACAAAAAAAACTATAATAAACATAATTAACAGCGCGTTTAAATATTGTCATATTTTCTTGGTCAAAGTTTCATGTTTGGTCAAAGAGTCTAGTGAAGTTACAGCTTCATGTCTTCTGAGTATTTCAGTTTTTTGATGGTCTTTTTTATTTTTTAAAATTTAACTTGAGCTGTTAGAGAGCTATTGATGTTTTAATTACCGGTCACATTTGCCATACGAAATTTAGTAAAACTTTTTTTCATTCCGAAGAAAGTCGTGCAATTTTTTTTTCATTACAAGCTTAGATCTGTTGATCTCTGTTTAGTTTGTTACGTCTGTTACTGTATAAAGAACTAAAACAAAAATCAATATCCTCAGGAATTTCATTAAGAAGCTTAATTGGCAGAGCACAGACAGTAACATTAAAATTTTCAGGCCTTTTTGATTTAAATTGTTTGAAGAAATAATAAAAAAAGCTTATGTAAGTAAAAGAGACCAAAACATCGTATATTATTGCTCTCTCGCCTACTCCATATTGTCCTCAGGAATTTTAACTTTGGCCAAGGAAACCTGACATCCTGTTCAATATATAGATATATTTATTTTTTTGCCTATCTTATACCCTAAATTTTGTGCCAGAATCGAGCTATGATTCAATATAAAAAAAGCTATTTACATCGGATCACTGAAAAAGATGGTCACATGAGATTAATCTAGCTTTTCGTAACTGAAAAAATCCTGGAAACTCCCAAAAATTTCCGATTAAAATGTCTGTTTGTCCTCACTTAAATCAGCGGTTTTTCTCTTTCTACTGATAATATGAGCCGACTTGTTGGATTTTTGGCTTTTTCTTGACGAATTTTTGAAAAACTCGTGTTCCCCAACGGCGATCGACTCGCCTTAGTTACTGAAAAATTCTGAAAAGTTCTAGAAATTACCTATATATATATTTTCTCACTCAAAGCTGCAGAATTTCTTTTTAGAGATATATTATGGACCGTCGCCTTGAGGATTTTTCGTTTTTCCTTGACAAATGTTTGAAAAATGCGTGTTTACCAACGGCCTATCGATCGCCTCACCTTCGTAACTGAAAAGATCCCGGAAAGTCCCAGAAATAAATTCATAAAGTGCGATTTTCACAAAATTCGTAACCTCCCACAAAATTCGTAATCAAGTGAGATTTTCCGCATTTAAAGGTTTTTGCTTGACAATTTTTTTTAATACGTCGATCTATACGAACGGCCAATCGCTTCTCCTTAGTAACTGAAAACATTCTGGAAACTCTCAGAAATTTCCTATTCAAGTGATTTTTCCTCACTTAAAGCAGCCGATTTACTTTTTCGAGTGATTTTATGGACTGCATTCAATAATTTTGTGTTTTTCCATGGCAAATTTTTGAAAAATCCGTGTTGTCCAACGACCATTTCATAAAGTTTTCATAAAGTTTGGCCTTTAATGCATCAACGAATGTCTGTAACCATCATCCTTTAAATAAGAGACAAATCAGGCAGAGTTAAGACTTGCATTCTGCTGAAAATGCAGAATAACCCGACTTAGATATCGTTTGCCCAAGAAATTATTAAAAGCTTTAGTCAAATGGATCATGAATCTGGAAACCTCCTGAAAAACTGCACTAACCATTCTTAGAATTTGCTAGAGTTGGAGAAATTTCAAACTGCAGTTTTCAGTACGGATCTTTTATGAAAAGTGATTGAACAAATCCATCTTATGTAATTTTTACGTCCGCACTTACATTTCTGATGTAATTTTGAAAAAAACTAACCTACGTTTATCCTTTAGATCCCAAAGCCATTATTGATTCTCTCAAACTAGTTAATTTGTTTCAAAGTTCTTGAAGCAAATGGATGAAATCGAATCGAAGAAATAGACAAGCCATGACAGAAGTCGGTTATAAATCATCATTTTTTGTACAAGAACAGGTTTCAAGATAGATAAAAAATTAAACTTCACTTATTTCTTTTTTGTTTTAATCTTGTCTAAACATTCATCGCCTTTAAATTTGATGTAGATTGGAGGTTTCAAAACAGCACATTTCTATCAAACGTTCCCAAGCCGAATGACGAAGGTTCGAATCGGAAGAAGTCTTTGCTCCTAACTTACAATTTCACATGTTCTATATATCAAGAGGTATAAATCGAAGGTTGGAACTAAACATTTGCGTTGTGATTTAAGTATTTCCGAAGCAATTTTATTGCAGAAACTTTCTTAACATTTCTAAAACTGGGGACTAAGACAATTGGAAGAACCAAATTTCCAATTAATGAGCCCTCCAAAGTGAATAAATGCCAAATTAGGATTTGAACTTACCGAACATTCCACGAAAAGGGTAGTAATAAAGGTAAAATAACTAAAGCGCGAATTGCGAATTTAAACTAAAATCATTAAAGTAATGAAGGTAAATTTCGGCTTTAGAGCTGAATTAATGGCAAACACTCGACATTTCCAAGAAGCATCATTTCAAACGCTGGCATACCTTTCATGTTCCTTATATCGATTTAAAGGGGATTTCTTGTTAAGCAATCTTTAACAAACACCACATTCGCGCGTTTTTGGATTTTTTGTTTTGAAACATTAGTAAAATTCCGAGTTTCTGAAATTCAAATCATCCGACCAGTTGAAATGTTCCAACTGCAGTCGAACTGAGTTTTTACGAGGCCAAATTGGCGACATTTAAATGCATGGGACACGAAGATTTTCCGGGCAGACTGCGGTAATTAACAGTTTTTGGTAATTTAGCCTAAAAGGTAACAATTGAGGAAAGCGAGGTTGTTTTTACTACGTATATTTTAATTAGTTCCCTCTTAAGCGTTGTCGTGTTATTAAAGTTGGCCATTTAACTGAATTGGAGGTGCATTCTCAGAGCATTGGTATTCGGGTAATTAGGAACGAAGTGATAACAACTTTGAAAACAAAATACACTTCATTGTCTCATAGTTAAAAACGCTGGTTCTCTTAACTGGTTTCGCTTTATTAGAGTGGATTCGAAATCTTCAAAACACACCCTAAATGGTTTAAATGCCACTTGATGCAAACACAAAAGCATACTTGAACCAATTGGCTATCGCTACAATCCATAAAGTGCCGTTACACTTCGCAATCGTATAAGCACGGTCATTTTCAGATATGAAATCGAAACAAACAGTTCAATCAAAGGGAAAGTAGCTAAAGGAAAATTGCTACAATTCAGCAAAGCAAACAAGGTGACCTGAATATACACCATGAAATGGCTAGTAGCTAATGTTTTTGATATACTTTTGACTGTGAATATTTTATCAATCGGTAATCAGAGATGAAGATGTAGCTCACACAGAAATAAATTATTGTGTTTTCTGTTGCTCTTGACCCATGCGAGATATCTGAATATTTTTTCACCGGTCACAGTTTCCGCACGAAGTTTCTTCAAAAAATGTATTTTCTTAATTCAAAAGAAGGCTATACAAACACAATTTATCAGAGCACAGAAGTGACAAAATAAGCGGAGCTCTCCACTTGTAATGAAACCTTGTTTCTAGAAAAATTTTTGTCAACAAAAAAGTTCAAGTAATTTTCAAAAATGTGACTCATAACAAAAAAATAATATCTCTCGACAGGCTCAGGACCAGCAGACGATCAACAACTCAAATTACTCAGAAAATGTAAGCTAAAAGTCATTTCATCAGCCTAAACTGAAACCTCAGGATAAAAGTTGCATTTCTTGCATCAGAATTTGTCTCATAGTAGCGTCCAGAGAATTCTGCTCAAGCACTAATTCACTTCTTATAAATACAGTAGACAAACGACAAAGATCCATACAGAGGAATGGATATTTTTGCTCTTTAGCTTCCCAACTGTGCCATTTGCCAACATAAATAATCATTTATATTGATCAAGCTTTTCGAGGTTCGACATCTTTAATATCGGTTATTCCGCATTTTCAGCGGTATGAAATCCTGCTTGATTTTTTTTATTCGATAACTGAACGTTTCAAGCATTGGTTGATGCATTAAAGGCCAACGTTTGTGGAAACGTTGGTGGTAAAATAATACTTGAGGTACGAACAATACGTAAACTTTGATAGTTCAAACAGTGAAAAAATGCTAAAAATGAATCAGTCCATGAGGTGGCGAATATTATTAATTTTAAAATTTGATTACCCGGTTTTCTCCTTTATTTAGTTATTGATGACACTGATTTTTTCACTCGAATTGAACTTTTAGCGTCTTGGGTTCCCAACGCCATCAAATTGGATTCCAGAGGAAAATTCTGACAAAAAAACCAAACAAAGTTGAAAAAAAGAAATAA